CATGTCTGAGTGAACTAGAGCTACTTGTTCCCCACTGGGTCCTACTGTTCTGCTGTAAGTTGGAGCTGTTTAAGTACGTTATACCTGGAGCAGAAAAGTACTATGTTCCTCCAAACTAGAAAACAGCCAAAACAAAGGTAGACACAGGAAGGTTGTTTTCTGTGTATCTCCCCCTGCCAAACCCCCCCCCCCCACACACACACGGATGGGTCTGTCCACAGCATGTCTGAGTGAACTAGAGCTACTTGTTCCCCACTGGGTCCTACTGTTCTGCTGTAAGTTGGAGCTGTTTAAGTACGTTATACCTGGAGCAGAACACACCCCAGGTTCTGGTGTAGCCTATTGTGTGCCCTGCCCCACTATCTCCTCAGGCCTGGCAGAACAGTCTCTCCCTGCTAGCATGCACAACCTAGTCAGATTCCTAAAGCCGCCAACTGCTTCCTCTTCAAGGTCATGTGGGCATACTCTGCTTCCCACTGGTAGAATCACTCAACCGTCATCTTTGTCCTCCACTGACCTGGAGGATTCTAGAGCACACTTCCTTACTAAATCCACCCAGCACGCCTTAAATGATGGCCAACACGCCAGTCTTTACCAAGCACTAAACATTTCTAATGAGAAAAGCTGTCCTACAAAACAGAACGGCCTTGGACATTATGACTGCCTTGCCAGGGGGCACCTATGCCATTATCAGAACAGAATGTTCTGTATGCATACCTGATGAGCCTGCCAATGTGTCATCTTTATTAAATCACATAAAGACATAAATGAACGTCCTGTGTGATCTGACCCCCAGCCTGCAGGACTTACATCAGTGGTTGGATCATGTGGCTCTTGGTGAAAAAAGTTGTCACTGATAAGTGGGGTCATGGTGCGACACTATTTCCTCTTGCTATGGCATCTGCCTCATGCAGCCAGAGCTGCTCAGTGAGCCATCTCCTTGTGGTAAAACTCTAGTTGCTCACTCAGGACATGCCACGGAAAAGGGGATGCAGATTAAGACTGGAGAGACAGGTCATAGGGAAGGAAGGTGGCAGAGGGAGTTGAGACATGGTGCCTGGCCCTCCCTGGTGGCGCAGCGGATTAAAGCACAGCACTAAGAAGCTAAAGCCACTTCCGCATGAGTTTGATCCCCGCCTGCCCCGGAGGTGACCACATGGCGTGGCAGACCTCTCCTGACCCGCCCGCTGCTCCCCTCAGCGGTGTACTTCGTAGATCTGCCTGTTCTGCTCCCCGCTCTGTCTCTGGTGAAGCCTCTCTCCGCCCCTGAACCTCTTGCCTGTACCCCAGTTCTGTATGAACAAATAAATCTTTAAAAAAAAAAAAAAAAGACATGGTGCTCACTGATCTGAGATCCAGACCTGGGTACCTGGAGGCACTGGCTTCTCTCCTGT